CTCTTTGGAAACCCGAAAGTTTCTTTCTCATAACCAGCGACCGATTGTACAACAAAAAGTAATTTCAAAAATTTCGCAGTGGCTGACATGATTTAGATTTGATTTTTCTGTTTTCGAAAAATTTAGACTAAAGAGTAAAGGACAGTGGGCAGCCGCGATATTTAAAAAGCGTCTCGAACGTTTACATTCATTCTCAAAAAGCCGTAAAATGCGTCGTGACGCGAATAGCGGACACCACGTCGTCGCCACCGTCAGGACGGCACCAACGCCGGCGTTCAGGATGCAGCAAGACGCGATGAGCATGCGTAAAACAGCCTTTGAAGTGCATATAATTTAACAGTGATTTTCATGTAAAGAGCAATAATTATTTTTTAGAACTGGGCATTTTTATTAAGTTATAATTATTGAAATTAACAGCTTAATTCACATAAGTTCCACTTCTTTTCACTGAAATAAACAGCAATTAAAATTTAAATTAATTTACCATCAGGAAGACAATTTTTCCGCCTATAAAGCACTTCATATCAAACTTTATACACGGTGTTTAATAAATATCAATGGTTAAAACAGATAAATGTAAAATAGTACATTTTTTTTTATTTAAACTACAAAGATGCACATAATTAAAGGTGGCAATCAATCAATCAACTTTTACTTGTTTGGATTGATTGATTTCTAAACGGTGTTGAAACTTTCATGAATCGCCCTGTATGTACAGTACACTTTATTCAACTAAACTTAATTGTGTTTTCCCTTCATGCTCTTGTTATATGTACGAAAATCAAAGCTAAAATGGGTCCAATTAATTAATTAATTAATTAGTCAATTGAATCGTTTAATTGGATGACCATCGTATGAAAGTACTTACCACTAAATTCAAAACTAAAAAAATTAAAAATAAAAACTAACAAAAAATGTGTTAACTCTTGCCAGTTACTAACTTGCAGAAATACTATTTGTCCTTTCGAAATTAATACCACCAAGGAATATCGTAGTTCAACAGCATTAGTTTCCAATAAATTGTAGCTACAGCACATTTCCTGCTCCCTACTAGTAGCATTCCCACAAGCGCCATTGTTCCAGAAACAACATCATAAATACATACGATACATACATGGATGTATTTGTTACCGGAAATTTCAAATGGCTGTCCCGAAAAAATAACACATTTATAACATCCCAGGTTTTGACCTGGGGAAGTCGTGCTTCATTGTGGATTCACGCTGACTTGTTTATGTTCCCGGCATCCTGCAGGACAATGCTAAATTACCTTGTTCGGGTGAAAATTAATAGACAAGGATAGCAAATATTTCCACCATTTTCCCTCATGTTACTAGAAAGACGGAGGGATCTTTACACGTGGGGTAATTCGCTGAACAACGCGGAAATTATATTAATCTACAATTACTTTAATTACCTCTGTAAATTAGTTTTGCTAATATTCTTCATTTATTTGTTACCTTACAATGAGTTTCCAATTGTCCTAATTCATCGAGGTTTTTGTTTTCAGCGATGTTCCTAGTGTCTATTTTCTTAGTCCGTGATTTAGTAGACGGAAATATATGCAGTGAATATGGCTGTAACGCTTGAGAGTAGCAAATCGTTTATTTTATTTACTGTTCACAAAACAATATATTTTTGATCGAATCAATCTGCTTTAACCGTTAGTACTGCTCAAGAAGCGAATTTCGTGTTCTTTAAAAAATTATTTATTTATTCTTGAACATCTATTTCGTTCCGTTCAAATTAATCCCTATAAGATATTATGCACATGTGCCAACATTTTTTCCAATCCTCGAAGCACCTCAAAAAATCATTTTTTGTGATCTTGTTCAGCTCATCCTTCGAGATGCCGTCTTTATCTCCTCAATCGTAGGGTAGCGTCGCCCTTTCGTGGGCCTCTTCTTCAAATAAGAAAAAGTCACGGGGGGTCAAATCTGGGAAACACGGTGTCTGCGGCATTATTAGTGAGTTGTTTTTAGCCTGTTCTACCTGTAGCAAGAACTCATGATGCACCAAACCCACGAAATTGGAGAAAACTGTAAGCAAAACCTTAAAATTCAACCTAACTTGGTGCGCTTTTTTCATTCTTGGTTTGTGCGGCAGCTTCCATTGGGATGATTGAGCTTTGGTTTCCACATCATAACCATAAACCCATGATTCATCACTAGCTATGACCCTGTGTCGCGGACAAAGCCCACCAGCTCCTTAGCAATGGTAATGCAATCTTGTTTTTGGCCGGAATTGAGCAATTTTGGTACGAATTTCGCGACGACCCGTCTCATGCCCAAATCATTAGTAAAAATCGAATGGCACAAGTCAATCGATATGTTTAGGTCTTCAGCATTTTCTCTAACGTTGATTCGACGTTTGGGATATACTAATTTACTATTTTATTCACTTTATTAATGTTTTCGTCTGTTGAACAAACAGAATAGCTCAAAACCCCAACGCCAAAACACGACACTGTAGTTGTCCGAAGCACTTTTCGGTAACAAAGTTTACTTCAGTCCCTGAAGAAGGTAACTTTGTTACCGAAAAGTGCTTCGGACAACTACAGTGTCGTGTTTTGGCGTTGGGGTTTTGAGCTATTCTGTTTGTTCTACAACAACCGCCAAAGTTTTTCCAATCTTCATATTTCGTCATGGCTTCCCGGTCATCGGATTTAAACAGGTATCACAAACTTAGTTGTAAGATTAGATTAATTGGTGCAGATATCCAATTCTTAAAAACCTGTAAACGTAACTCTCTTTTCCCAGAGTTTATGAATATTAAAGTTTCAAAGAACTGTAAAGTTATTGAAAAAATAACCACTTTTGCTAAGCGTAAGTGGCTAGATTTAGAATTGGATTTCTTGTACTCAAAACGTAGTCTACTTGAAATAGAGGCGTATAATTTATTTAAATCTTTAACTTATAATTTAAGTGAAAAAGAATTCAAAAAATGGAGCGATTTTCAAAGGAAGATGTTTTTATCTATAGATTGTAAATTTCATAAAAAGGTGAACATTCATAAAAAGAAGTTACGTAAGTTAGGTATATTCTCCAAACCACTTCCTAAGAAAGTCGAACACATTGTAGAGAATCTGTCATCTCAAGTTTTTGATAATGCCGAAATTAGTTTACTCAATAAAGGATTAAAGTTTGCCTTGCCTTCTCCTGCTACAGCCTTAGAAAATGTTATAGGACATGTTGAAAGTTCAATTCAACATCTTGATGACAATTCCAAAGGCTATATCAGAGAGGCTTGCAAACTAAAATTGAAAACCAGCTTAAAATCTCAGAGTTCCCATATTAAAAATGCTAATATGAAAGTTATCAAAAAATTGAGAGATAAGGATTGTTTTTACGTAAAAGCTGACAAAGGTAATAAAGTTGTGATTTTGGATAAAAAAGACTATTACGATCGGGTTGATGACCTTATTAACAACGGACCTTATTCAAAATTAAATAAAAATCCTTTACCTAGTATGGTTGCTGGGTTTACTAAAACCGTAAAACAATGTCACAACATTATTACTCCTACATTAAAACGAAATTTACTTGTATCATGTCCAACAGTTCCCCGTTTGTACTGTTTGCCCAAGATACATAAACCAGGTAAGTCGATGCGACCAATTGTCTCTGCAATTGGTGCACCAACTTATAAATTAGCCAAGTGGTTGACAAATGAATTCAACAACCTCCCTATTAAACCACCTAGTTTTTCAGTTAAAAATTCTATTGAATTCATAAACAAAGTCAAAGACGTAAAACTAAAAGACAGTGAGGTTATGGTTTCATTTGATGTTTGCTCCCTTTTTCCAAGTGTACCTGTTCCGCTTACTTTGACGTATTTAGAGGATTTACTTAAAGAAAATGGTTTCTCCGCCGACATTGTAGCTGAGTACATAACTCTGGCTTCAATGTGCATGCGGCAAAATTATTTTCAGATAAATGGTTGCTTCTACGAACAGAAAGAAGGAACAGCTATGGGGAATTCTTTATCACCCTTTATAGCCGACCTTTTTATGAGTCGTTTTGAAAGTGACCTTAGCCACCTTGAGTTTTTTCCTCGAATATGGCTTAGATACGTGGACGACATTTTTGCTATCTTCGATTTAAGTTCCAGAAGTCTTCAAGACTTTCTTGATGTTTTAAATTCACGTTTCCCTTCGGTTAAATTTACAGTAGAAATGGAAAAAGATGGCNCTACCAACCTATCTCGCCTATTTCTTATTGACTTCCATAGAGTCCTCTGTTCTCCTATTCTTTCTAATACCTCTTCATTTCTAACCTTTTCTACCCACGTTATCCTCATCATTCGCCTATAACACCACATTTCGAAGGCTTGTAACCTTTTCCTTTCCGCCGCGCCCACTGTCCATGTTTCGCACCCATACAGCGCCGTGCTCCAAACATACACCGTTAACAACCTTTTCCGAATTTCTGAATTAACCGCTCGCGGGCATAGAAGTGACTTCTTCTTATTGTAGGTCACTCGACCCTGCGCTGTCCTCTGCTTTATATCCCTACTACTCCTTCCGTCCTGAGTTATCTGGCTTTCTAAGATACCTAAAATCGGCCACTTCTTCTAATTTTTTGTCTCCTATCTTTACATTCGTTCTTCCCTATTTTTCCTTCCCTTGCATACCAGTATTTTTGTTTTACTTTCATTTATTTTCATACAGCACTGTTTTGTCAATACCGCTTTCACTTTATTTAAAGTTATCCTAAGACCTCCTTGCTAGATGCTAATACTGCTATATCATCTGCAAATCTAAGCATACTAATCTTTTACCCCTGTATATCTATCCCTACAGTTGTACTGTCTTTAATGATGTTGATGGCGTCTTCGATGTATAGATTAAAAAGTAGCGGTGACAGTGTGCATCCCTGCCTGACTCCCTTCCTAATATTTACTTCTCTACGTTGCATCCCCAGCTCTATAACTGCCTGTTGCTCTTTATACAAACTAAGTATCACTCTNGTTACTACTTAATTTGTAATTAATTTTTTTTATCGTGTTCTGATGATTACGTTTTTCCGGATCTAAATTTTTGGTAGAGACTGTATGTTTATTTGTTAAATTGGCCGCGTATTTAAAAAAGCCTCTTATGCTGCCCGTGATTAGTTCAGACGTGAACGAGTTGCATGTTAGTTCGTTTCATAATAGTAATTTACATGCGCTTGGCGAAGTACATACCAAACTTGGATACAAGAACGAAGCTACGGATTGACGATGTGTGAAAACTGGGAAAATCTTATAGTGGACGAGATCAAGAGCGAATTGGTGCTCTTGAGTGAACAGAAAGGCATCACGAAACCTGCGATATCGTGCACGCCGGGTAGTGCAATCGGTGATAATTATTTGGGAGAAATAGTGAATGTAATTATCGAAGGTGATGATGGAAAGGAAAATGGAAAAAATCGCCTTAACATCATTGTAAAGTGTGCCCCAAGGGCAGGAGCGTTTCGGACGAAATTGCCCATGCATCAACTGTACCTCCGAGAGATGTACGCTTACGATACGATTTTTAGAGAATTTTTAAAAATACAGAACGACTGTAATGTCAAGGATGTTTTTAATCCTTTTGCTGTTTGTTACAAAACAATTCCAACGGACGGCTACGAAACTTTGATAATGAAAAATATGAAATCGATAGGATACTATATGGAGAATAGGTTCAAACCGTTGGATTACGACCATGTCCTTTTAACGATCAGGTCTTACGGGAAATTACATGCCCTCTCGTTCGCGCTAAGGGAACACGAACCTGAAAAATTTCGAAAACTTGCGAATAATTTAAAGGAGGAGTTCTTCAGTATAGTTGACCTTCCCGAGAATTATTACGATCAAATAACTAAACCAGCTTCCGATTTATTGGAAGGACCGTTGAAAGAAAAATTTGATGATTACCGTTCCAGACTTCAAAGCATTTTGGAGGAAGAACTGTGTGAAGAGACTCCAGGACGATATGCTGTGATAGGACATGGTGATTGCTGGACCAATAATTTTTTATTTAAGAGAGAGGCAAGTTAAAATATTAATTTTCGATATTAACGATAAGTGGTAATTGTCGTAAAATTAAAAGTATTTCAATTAAAAAATAGTAGAAGTTAAATAAGAAAATCGTTAAACCATCTCCATCATCATAAGATTGTCAGTTCTAAGACTGACTGGACAAGAGCCTCCACATTTTCTTTTCCTAAGATAATTTTCGCATTTCCCTAAAACTAGAACGTTCCACACTCTTAACTATTTGCGAACAGTAATCTTATCTACCTCTACTCCTCTTAACTCCTGTTTTATTTTTAACCTTCTCTATCCACGATATTCTCATCATTCGCCTGTGACACCACATTTCGAACGCTTATAATCTATTCTTTTCCGCCACGCCCACCGTCCATGTTTCGCACTCGTACAACGCCGCACTCCAAAGCCTTTCTAAATTAACTGTTCGCGAGCATAGAAGTGACTTCTTTTTATTGAAGGTGACTTGACCTGCGCTACCTTCTGCTTTATATCCCTACAACTCCTTCCGTCCTGACTTATCTGGCTTTCTAGATACCTAAAATCGGCCACTTTTTCTAATTTTCCACTTCCTACCTTATATTCACTCTTACTTTTACATTTACTTGCTACTACTTTTATTTACTTTTGTACAGTTCTGTTTTGTCAGTACTGCATCCATTTTATTTAAAGCTATCTCTAACACCTTCTTGCTAGATGCTAATAGTTCTACATCATCTGCAAATCTAAGCATACTAATCTTTTGCCCCTGTATATCTATCCCTACAGTTGTACTGCCTTTAATGATGTTAAAATGTAGCAGTGACAGTGTGAATCCTTGTCTGATTCCCTTCCTAATATTTACATCTCTACGTTGCTGCTCCAGCTCTATAACTGCTTGTTACTTTCTATAAAAAATATCACTCTTTGGTCTCCTTAACTCACCCCTACATGTTTAAGTATATTTAATGTCCCGTTAAACTATATCAGACTGTAAAAGATCTGACTTGTTTCGTAATACGCAATACATGAAAATAAATAAAAAATAACATCTAATACGTATTTCTAGCAAACAAGGCATGACTTGCTTTTTAATTGTCGTAAATAAATCGGATCACTGTCAGGAAAAAAAGTTTTTCTCGCAATGAAGTGTATGATGAACGAAAGTAATTAATAAATATTTAAGCAGAAGGACGTCAAAATAAATTATTATTTATGGTTTTACGTAACCAAAGCATTGCGAGATAATTTATTAGACAATAATCGCTTTATGTGAAAAAGACTGACCTATGATAATAAAGTTAACTTACACTACATACGAAAAAATATTCAAGATATGTACATTTATTTTTTATTTTTCAGAAACTTTAATATTTACATATAGATTGTTATTGTTTTCCACAACACCTATTGTTTTGGTAATGGGAATCATATAAACAATTCAACAACAATACCTTTAGTTTTTCAAAACAAATGGCAACATTACTGTTTTGTAATACCTCTTCCATTTTATTTAATGCTATCTCTAACTCCTTACTAGATACTAACACTGCTATATCATCTGCAAATCTAAGCATACTAATCTTTTACCCCTGTATATCTATCCCTACAGTTGTACTGTCTTTAATGATGTTGATCGCGTCTTCGAAGTATAGATTAAAAAGTAGCGGTGACAGTATGCATCCCTGTCTGACTTCCTTCCTAATATTTACTTCTCTACATTGCAGCCCCATCTCTATAACTGCCTGTTGCCTTTTATACAAACTTTATCACTCTTCTATCCTTATAACTCATCCCTACATTTATTTTTAGGTATATTTAGCATCTTGTCCAATTGACGTAGTGTTTTTTGAAATCCGAAACCTTAAAATTTAAAGTTAAACTTAATTTTTCTGTTGTCCATTCGAAAGGAGAATATTATTCGGAAGTTCCTTTTCGAGGATAGAGATATCTGCAGTTGCTAATAAAAAAAGTTGGTGACGGCAATCTGTTCGCTATAGTCTGCAACAAATTTAATAAAGCACTTCCCGATATTTATTGGATTTCTTCCCGAAGCGAGCGGGAGAATTTTAAGAGAAAAAATTAATACCAAGTTTTCAGTTTCCGGTGGAAGGATAAATTGTGAAATTGCAATTTCGAATGAGAATTCCAGAGTTCGAGAAGTATCGACTGATATGAAATCAGCTGCCTACAATAGTAGCTTGATTCGATCGAAAAAGAATTGACAATATAATATAAGGATTTCAATAATGTAACACTGCTTTAAAAATTATCTGCGTTTTAACTTAATTGTCATCATACCTGCTAAGTAAGTGTCTTCATTCACTAACATTCCCACTCTGCTTATTGACTTTATTTATTTTGTATTAGGATATTTCAATCTTGGTGATGTCAATAACAAGCATATCTGTAGGCAAGACGGCAAGTATTCGCAGAATTCGTAATATTAAGCCAAATCTTTACAAATGTATGTAGAACACTACTTTATGTGTTCCGTGTCTCAGTGGCATACATATTTAAGTTAAGTCAATTTCCCTGCGTTTCTTTACCTCCACGGGCTCGAGAAGAATTCACCGGCGAGTCTTGTACATTCTTTGTAAATGTCATTTAAACTACAATCTTCGTGGAGAATGTATTGCAGCAGTTGTTCTAAGTGCATACACTTAATATTTTAAAGGAAATGGAGTCAAAGCAAGCCGTCTTCTCAAAATATTCAAGAGGACTGAAATAATTTACGAACTACGTATGTACTTATATAAAGAAAGAAATTGAGCTTATCACAAAGGCATGGAGATACGAATAGGGCCAAAAACAAACCCAAAGAGCAAAAGTATGAACTTGGGTTCATGGTTCAAGAAATACAGAATCATCATCATCATAGGATCGTCAATTGTGGCGGACAATCCCCCCGGACTACACCGGAAGTTAGAGCGGAAGGCCTTCTTCAGCCTTCTTTCAGGAATCGTGGACCGGCGTCCTTCCGAAAACTAAACAATGGTTTAAACCTCTAGGCCATGCCGCTCGGTTATTAAAAGTACAACATCCTACATCTTTAACTTTATAAACAGCAATGTAATCTAAATCTACCTCTACCCTTAACTTCTGTTTCTGTTTCTAATATGCCCCTAACTAGCCCTTTATGCCTGAGACGATGTCCTACCAACCCATCTCGCCTAATTCTTATTGACCTCTAAAGCGCCCTCTGTTCTTCAATTCTTTCTAATACCTCCGCACTTCTAATTTTCCCATTCACTTGTAACACCATATTTCCAAATGCATTTGTGATTTAAATTCTTATAAAAGTTAATTGAATGTATGCTTGATGAGCTATGTTTAAATAAATTGTTTTCACAGAAACGATCACACCTCTAATTCTCGGTAGGTGATAATTATCACCATCATCATCATCATAACGTCATCAGTCCTAAGCCTGGTTGGACACGCACCTTCACTCTTTC